TGTACATTACCATCATTAAATTCAATAGAAAAAGCAATCAAATTTATGAATGAAGCTTATACAAATAATGAAAAGATCTTTGTTCATTGTAAAGCTGGTATGGGAAGAAGTGCTACTATTGTATTATGTCATTTGGTTGCTAATGAAAAAATGTCAGCGGATGATGCATTAAAATTAATTAAAGAAAAAAGACCTGAAGTAACAGCTACTATTATCGATTTCGAATGTGTCAAGCAATTTGTAGATTCACTGAAAAATGAGTTAGAAAAATAGACTTTATTTATTATTTTTATATTTACATTTCTTGATGGACATGAACCAAACTCAAACCGTTTGAACTCGATACTTTTCAGATTGAACTCGATTCGAACTCGAATGTGTAAACTCGAAGTTGTCTTCGGGATTGGTACATGTCTATTTATTGATGTTCGCAAAACTTTTTCAAATACATCGTATTAGACTGTCTAATTTGTATCACAGACGGATTAATTCACGCCGCTTTGCTAATATATCTCACTTTTTTGTAACAGTAAACCTAACATTTTGCTTTGGTTTCTTTTTCCAATTGAAAGACGTGTCTTAAATTATTTGAAGAGATCGAATGTCTATCATTTACCACAAATCAGATTCCCTGATTTCATCCCTAAATGAAATCCACATTTGTGGATAATTATTCAATTAACGTCTAGACTGGTGACCAAACAGGGATTTTTCAATTTAGGGTTTTTTTTCATATAGTACATGCAAGTCATAATGTAATTCGATATCGTCTTACTTCAAGCATCTTAGAAACCTCGAACTATGGAACCAAGGTACTTCAGCGAAGACTTTTCTATTTGTAAGACTACTCTGGTCACCAGAATTGTGTTATACTCATTCTCTGTATTCGCTTGCATTTTACATTTAAATTCATTTTTCTTTCCTGCTTATAATAAAGAATGAGTACAACACAATTCTGGTAACCAGAACAGACTTACAGACAAAAGAGTTTTTGCTAAAGTACCATGAAAACCAGGTACTTTAGCGAAGATTTTTCTCTCTGTAAAACTAGTCTAGTCACCAGAATTGTGTTGTGCTCATGCTCTATTAGAAACAGGAAAAGAAAAATGAATTTAAATGTAATATGCAAGCGAATGCAGAGAATGAGTTCAACACAATTCTGGTAACCGGTGCAGACTTATGGACAGTTTTATCTTCGATAAAGCACTGGCTTCTGTGCTACTTTAGCACATATTCTACTCTCTGTAAGTCTGTTCTGGTGACCAGAGTAGTCTTACAAACAGAAAAGTCTTCGCTGAAGTACCTTCGTTCCATAGTTCAAGGTTTTTAATATGCTTGAAGTAAGACGATATCGAATTACATTATGACTTGCATGTACTATATGAAAAAAAAA